GCGAACTAAAATATTTCTCACAATTTAAGGGCTAGAAAGTGCTGCGAGAATTTTAATATCCCACAACGAAGAAATAAAATGGTTTAATCCAGAATCCTGAGTCATTCGTGTTTCTGATTGAAGGAATGTGGTTAGTTTTTTTTAAAATTTAATTTGTAAAATTGTATTTGTTGAAGTGTGTTTACTCTCCATCACCCATTTGCTCTCAGAAGTTAAGATTCTGTTCAGAAACTTTTTCTCATATTGCCAACCGCGGCAATGAAATTGTTTAGCCAAGTGGAGTTCGTAGAATAGTCAGGAACGTAACCAGTATTTATTGATGCTTTGTTTATTAAATGACTTTTTCTGGTTAATTAATTCTGTAGCATCAGTTGAAAGACGATTGTGAATGAAGAGCTGGAGAAATGTGGAAAGAAGCGATCTTGGCTTTTTTGAAGGTGTTACTATCCTTGCAGTTTGTGGGAAGGATTAATGGAAATTATTAAAAACTATTGGGCTCTTACCACTCAGCTGCGACCTTTGATATCACCATTCTTATGGAAATTCATAAACTGTATTTTGGTAAGAGTCAATATATAAATCACTTTATAATAACATGCAGTTTGTTCGAGCTTTTTAACTTCAGAAAACTTTACGTTTATTGAAAGTTTTACGAAGAGCCACCTCTAAAGTCCCATTAATGGTGAGCGGGGACTTCACTTCTTCACACCTAATTTTATTCCCAGCCACATAATTACTAGTACGAAGACACTCGGCGGTTCGCCAGAAAAGCTTGGAAACCACTGCCTTACATGACAGCTTGTCTCAAAAGTCTCGTTTACACATTCTATTTTTATGACTTGAGAAAACACGGGAAAGAACACTCACTCGTCATAAGTGCAGAAGTTTTTTGTACTTGCATTGGGAACGAGTAATTATGGGAAATGCAACAGTGCAGATAAATGGATTAATGAGCCTCTTACTGAAATTAATATAATAGGACTCTCTTCTGGGTTGTAACTCCGTGTAGTCTAGTAGAAGTTTATGGACGTTTCAGAGGTGCTTGCTGTCTACATCATCAGGGTTATCTACCACACTACACTACGCAACAACCCAGAAGGCAGACATTATCCTCGTAACCTTGAGAACCTGAAACAACGTTTCTCAGTTTCAAAGATTATTTGGTTTATGCTGTTTATTCTTCTGAGAATCATACGATACCACATGAGCAAAATACAGTTTATAAAATGGCGGTACATATATTTACCACTAGTTTAAAAGGGTTGAGATGGAATAGATTTTTATAGTTGTGGGTCGTTGGATTAGTCGAAAGGAGCCAAAGTCCAGCCTCGTATGATAGACTTGACAGCACTGAGCTTCTCTTTATGGGAAATTTGTTAAAGAAGAAGTGTCTCAGCCATGGTGTTCAAGAAATGTGAACAAACTGAAAGACATGATGGTGTCTAAAGCCATCAGAAACTCTAATCGATATGTTACTTCTTGTGTAAGTAAGAGTTAATGTTGACAGAATGAACACCCGGGAGCCACAGCGAAATGTAACTATAAAACTTTGGTTTTATCGCGGTGATGTGTAATTAATTATCGGTTCTTCAATGTCTTCTGATTTCCAATCACCACTCTATGTCATCTATCCTCCGTTCTTTCAGCCCTGAAGTTGGAGACAGTATGTTTCTCCGAAATGTTTGTATTACTTGCAAGTCCTTACGGCGTCAAGTCCTGGAACACCAGCATCAACATCTTCACTGCCGGGATAACCTGAAATCTCTTAATGTATTCTATGGATGTGTTCTATGTTGTTGCGCCGTGTAGTCCGGTAGAAGTTTACTGACGTTTCAGAGGTCCTTACTACCCCCATCTTCAGGACGATGACGGCGCAACAACCCAGAAGACAGCCATCTTCGGACTCATCGCCATGAAAACCTCAAATCCTACTTTTTCTACGTTTGATCGCTTGCTTTACTTATGTCGCGATGTGTATGCGAATTCTTGTTGTTAAATAAGAAATGAAGAGTTTTTAAGAGGAAGTGCTCGTTCTTAGTTGTGTGTAGGAATACCGAGTCTCGATTTACAGGGGACTGCGATGTGTAGTTTGTCTGGAGCTGACTCACTCCCATTCCGAGAACAGGCCCACGTGTTTATTATCTTTGGAATGCTGTACAGATCCCTGAAAATGCCGAAGTCCGTATATAACTTCCAAATCGTCTACTCATAGAAATGAACTGGTCTATAATGGTTCATTGACCTCTGGTGACTTAGTGTACGAATTATATACACGCGCGCACTCGCACACACCATATACACCGCTAAAATTAGGGAATTTGTGTGTGGACCTTCGGAATTTAATACCCATATTTTGTTTTTTGTATCCGTTTATCTCCCAGTTACATTATATGTGTAATTAACAATTAATTTACAAGCTTTAATGTTCACTGATTAAGTATATATCCAGTTACAAAAGCAACAAACT